CAGCAGGGGACACAGGTAGACGGGGCAGTGTTCTCATTTCCTTCTCCATTTCACTTAGAACCAGGTTTGTGGGTCAGTCATACCTCAGAAAACTAGATTCACAGGGCTAGAAGGAGCTTACTTTTTAGTAAATTACCCTCATTTCATGGATTGACAAATTTTCCTAAAACAATGGATTTGTCTTTAATTAAAAATTGTGTTTCAACAGAAAACTACATGTTGTCTACAGCACAGTGTTCTAGGTTATCTTAATGTAATTCTGCAGAAAGTACTTCATAAATCTGAAAAGTATGAATAACGACAAATAAATTCTTGTCTATAGCCTTGCAATTTTGTCCTGTCTAGTAGAGGCTTAATTGGCTTCTCTCTCCAACTAGGAAGAAATTAGTGTTGCCTCCTCATGCACATTCATTCCAGCATTCCTTTACTTAATATAAGCGTGTGCTTTTGTGACTTCTCCTTTTAACTGCTTAGAACATGACCATAGTTATACCTGTATGAGTTAAATAAAATATTTAACACATGTTCATTTTCTTCTCTATAAGAGCAAAGATCCTTTTATCCATTATCCTTGATCCTTTATTTGAAAATTAACTTTTAACAGTGATAATTCTCTCTTTAGAACAACATGGCAGGTCTTTTTACTTTCTGGTATCTTTCTGAGGGCCAGATTGACACCACTTCCTGATCCCATACCACCCTTACAACCGGCCATGGTCCAGCCACAAACAGGATCTGAACTCACCACAGATGTTGGACCTGGACCTAACCCAAGAAAAGCATGCCCATGGCTAAGGTTGAGTAACACTATGGCGTGTCTGTGGTTTCATGTAAAATGGAATGCATACTGATGAAATCTTGGAAATCAAATTATATATAAAACTAGCAAACTGCTGAATTTGCTAATTCCTCTTTTACTTTTTCCTATCAGATTCAATTTCCTGTATTTTTTCTAGTCATGTGCTGCATTCATTTCAACAAACATTTTTAGGGGACTTTCTTTTCTAGCACCATGATGAAATAGATACACTGAAAAACTCCTCCTTTAAAATATCTGGAAATGACGGGAAAAATCAAATAAGGATCCTTTTAAATACACAGCTAAGCTTAAAAGGAAATAGGACGAATAGTGCTGAAACAATTGAACATCTACATGAAAAAAAAAAAAACCTAGACATACATCTTACACTCTTCATAAAAATAAACACTGAATAGATCATAGACCTAAATGTAAAACAAAAAATTATAAAACTCCTTAAAAGATAGCATAGGAGAAAATCTAGACAACCTGAGATGTGGTGATAACATTTCAGATACGACACCAAAGAAGCAATCTGTGAAATAAATAACTGATAAACTAAACTTCATTAAAATTAAAAACATCTCTGCAAAACACATCGTCAAAAGATTGAGACAAGCAACAGACTGGCAGAGAATATTTGGAAAATATATATCTGATAAAGAATTATCCAAAACATACGAAGAAGTCTTAAAATTCAACAATAAAAAACAATTTTGGCCAGGCTCGGTGGCTCAGGCCTGTAATCCCAGCACTCTGGGAGGGTAAGGCAAGTGGATCACCTGAGGTCAGGAGTTCGAGACCAGCCTGGTCAACATGGTGAAACCTTGTCTCTACTAAAAAATACAAAAATTAGCTGGGCGTGCTGGCAGGCACCTGCAATCCCAGCTACTCGGGAGGCTGAGGCAGGAGAATAGCTTGACCCTGGGAGGCAGAGGTTGCAGTGAGCCAAGATCACGCCATTGCACTCTATCCTGGGAGACAAGAGCAAAACTTTATCTCAAAAAAAAAAACAAAAAAAATAAAGATCTGAACAGACACCTCACCAAAGATGATATGTAAATGATAAATAAGCATATCAAAAGATGCTTAATATCATGTCATTAGATAAATGCAAATTGAAACAATATTAAGATATTAATATCATTACATATCTATTATAATGGCCAAAATTCAAAGCACTGACAACATCAAATGCTGGCAAGGATGTGAAGTAACAGGAGCTCTCATTTATTGCTGGTGAAAATGTAAAATGGGACACCTACATTAGAAGACAGTTCGGCAGTTTCATATAAAACTAAACATACTCTTACCATATGATCCAGCAATTGTGTTCTTTTCTATTTACCCAAAATGAGATGAAAACTGATGTCCATACAAAACCTGCACATAGACATTTACAGTAGCTTTAAATGGATCATTTGGCAATTATAAAATTGCCAAAACTTGAACACAACCAAGATGTCCTACAGTTGGTGAAGAGATAGAAATTCTGTGGTGATTCGAGACAATGGAATATTATTCAGTACTAAAAAGAAACATGCTATCAAGTCATGAAAAGACATGAAGAAACCTTAAATGTATATTACTAAGTGAAATAAGCCAATCTGAGAAGGCTAAATAATTCCAATTATATGACATCCTGGAGAAGGCAAAACTATGGAGACAGTAAAAAAAAATCAGTGATACCCAGGAATGGTGGCTCATGGCTGTAATCCCAGCACTTTGGGAGGCCGAGGTAGGCAGATCACTTGAGGTCAGGAGTTCAAGACCAGCCTAGCCAACATGGTGAAACCCTGTTTCTACTAAAATTACAAAAATTAGCTGGATGTGGTGGTACATGCCTGTAGTCCTAGTTTCTCTGAAGGCTGAGGCAGGAGAATTGCTTGAACCCAGGAAGCAGAGGCTGCAGTGAGCTGAGATTTCACCAGTGCAATCCAGCATGAGCGACAGAGTGAGACTCTGTCACAAAAAAAAAAAAAAAAAAAAAAAAAAAAAAAAAAATCAGTGATTACCAGGGCAAAGCAATTACCAGATTATCAGAATAAGAGAGCACAGTGGACTTTTAGGGCAGTGAAACCATTGTGCTGGATACATGTCATTATGCATTTGCCCAAGCTGTAAACTATGGACTTTGGGTGATAATGATGCATCAATGTAGATTCATCAATTGTAAAAAATGTAGTACTCTGGTGTGTGATGTTGAGTCCAGGATGCGGATGGTATGGAGGGTCTAGAGGTTATATGGGAGATCTCTGACTTTTCACCTAATTTTGCTGTGAATCTAAAACCACTCTAAAAAATAAGATCTATCCTGGGAGGCAGAGGTTGCGGTGAGCCGAGATCGCTCCACTACACTCCAGCCTGGGCAACAGAGTGAGACTCCATCTCAAAAAGTAATAATAATAATAATAAGATCTATTTTTAAAAATTAAAGAACAGAAAACAGGAAAATTAAATCAAAGCTAACTAATCTTCCTACAAATAAAACACCAGTCCTAGAAAATTTTAAAAGAGAAGTATTCACAAATACTGAAATAATACATAATTCTAATTTTACTCAAAATACGTCATACTGTAGAAAATTTAGGAGCACTTCATAGCTCATTTTATCAATTTTGCACAATCTTGACAGAGCTCTGAAGAATAGACACTGTCTACCTTACATTCAGCCTGGACACTATGAACCAAAACCACACCTTATGGGCTATGTTATCATGACTTGGTGCTATCCCTTTGTCTTCATTAGCATGCCTTTTGCCTTCTAGGAGTATCTTGCTCAGGCACCAGTTTTCTGATTCATTACAGAAAGTTTCTAAAAGACCCAATAACTCTTCAATGGTAAACATCAACAAACAGTTTGCACTCTACAGGTGTTTGAATCCTTCCCAGTCTTTTCCCCTGTGCTGAACAGTTATATCTTGATGTTTACCCAATCCTAATTAGCCAGCCTCCACCACCTTTGAAAGAGCCTTCTTAAATTAATCTTCCAATTCAATAAATTTGCCCTTACCTCTGCTCTTCAGAGACATTGCTAAAGCTTTGCAGATTTAGTATTCTCTTACTGCTGTGAGCATTTGTCTCATCAAACTGTCATCTTTGTCTCATCAACAGGTTGTGTTGGTAATGTTTGGGGAGACAGCTTTTGACATTTCAAAACAGTGAACTATGATCGCGCCGCTGCAATCCAGCCTGGGTGACAGAGCAAGAATTACAGGTCAATCCTACTTACGGAGAAAGATGCAAAAATTCTAAATGAAATATTATATAACTAAATATAGTAACGTATAATGTATAACTTATTATAATTCAATAACAATTAATATGTGATGACCAAGTTCTGTTTATCCCAGGAAGATAAAGTTGGATTAATATTAAAATATCAATAATATCAAGTTGGATTAATATTAAAATATCAAGTAAATTAGTGTAATTTACTACATTAATAAAGAAGAAAAATTATTTGATCAATTTAATGCAGAAAACCTTCTGATAAAAGTCAACATTTTCACACATAAATAAAATAAATCTAAAACTAATTTTGACCACAATTACAGAAATTTATTAAGCAAGTATGTATTTATAAGCAGATTCAAAACAGCTTATATAACCTCTCCTAAATCTTGTACCTGACCAAATAGACTTAGGTCAGTCCGTCACTAAGGATAGGTAAAGTAAACATATGTAATAGTAAAGTGCTGAAAGCTTTTCCTTTTAGATCACCATGAGACAGGGGTACTTTTTATCACCATCTTTTCTTTTCAACATTGTATTAGAAGTCCTAGCCAATGCAGTAAGAAAATAAAAGTCTATAGATTAGAAAGGATAAAATAAAATCTGTTTAATTCAATGATAAATTTATAATCTTAGAAACCCAAGGAATCTTTAAAACGATTTGAATTTATCAGAGTTGGACTGATTAAGTGGCTGGGAAAATTTTAAAAAAGGCAAAAAAAAATGAATTTATAAGAGTTTAGCTAATTGTAAAATCAGAATAATAAATTGTTTCCATTTCTATACAACACACAAAAACTGTAATTTCAAGAAAAAATACTGTCATTTACAATAAATTCCAGAAATATAAAGTACCTAATAGTACAGCTAACAAAAAACATGTAAGGTATTTATGGGAGAAAATTAAAACATTATTCAAAAGTGGTTTTAAGGACCTAAATAAATTAAGAGAAAAAACAGGTTCAATGCGTTAGAAGATGTAATACTATAAAGATAGTTAGTGTATTTACATTTGGCTTAAGAAATTTTCTATTTTCTACCTCATTCTTTACTTATTCTTAACCTCCGCATTTCTGCAATTTCTTGGGAGAGAGAGCCGTGTTCGTTTTATTTTGGTTACAATGCTTTGCACATAATGGCTAGGCACTTTAAGATGATGAAATAGTTGATAAAGTTTCTGCAACTATGGCATTATTAGTAGAGAAAGCAATCAGCAATGCTTCTAGCCCTCAAGGCCCTAGGGATGCACTGAGAAGAGTTTTTGAGTCTACTTCTTCAGGGATTATTTTTAAAGGTAGACCTGGGCTTCTGGATCTTTGTGAAAAGGATCCCTTTGATACCTTGGCAACAATGACTGACCAGCAGTGTGAAGACATCACATCCAGTGCACAGTTTGCATTCAGACTCCTTGCATTCCGCCAGATATACAAAGTTATAGACATGGATCCATTATCACAAATGAGCCAACATTTTAACATCCACAACAACAGGAAACAAAAAAGGGATAGTGATGGAGTTGATGGATTTGAAGCCGAGGGAAAAAAAAAAAAAAAGAAAAGATTGTGATAACTTTTAAAAGATGCCTGTAAATCTTCAGTGTTAAAAAAACAAAAGATGCCCATTTGTTGGCTGTTTGTCATTCATAATAATGTCTACATTGAAAAATTTATCAAGAATTTAAAGGATTTCATGGAAGAACCAAGTTTTTCTATGATATTAAAAATATACAGTGTTACATATTATTTGAATGGAAAGACACACACACACACACACACACACACACACAAAACAGAATGTGCTCTGGCTAGGCAGGAAGCAGCAGTTCCGATTTTTTCTCATTATTTTGATTTTATTTTCTGGTTGCCCTAGCTTCTCCACCCTACTTTTGTGTCTTTTGTTAACTAGGGTATTGTCTTATTAAATCTTTACTGTATTTAATGCAGGATTTGTGCTTCAGTTGCTCTGTGTATTTTGATACTATTATTTACAGGTTTTGTTTGCTTTTTGACACTAGTTGTAAGTTAGTTTGTGTTATAGATGATATCCTTTACCCCTTCTTAATATTTTACAGCAGTACTTTTTTTGTAACATGAGACTGCAGAATTTCTTTTGTTTTTCTATATGTGAAGCATTACAACTCAAAAAGTTATCCTGCCATTCAAGTGCTCAGAACGGAATGTTTCTGCAGATCTTGTGACATTTGTCTCTAGTGTGATATATAAACGTGTAATTAAGACAGAGTTCTATTAATCTAATCAAGTTTGCTGTTAGTTGTGCATTAGCAGTATAAAAACTAATATATACTATCTAGTCTTGCAACAGTTTTAAAGCCTCCGCAAAATTGATAGTAAAAATGCATGACATTTTTGTCTTTAATAGACTTTTAAAATTATAATTGTAGGTTTAACACGTAGATCTTTGTACAGTTGACTTTTTTGACATAGCAAGGCCAAAAGTAAATTTCTGAATATTTTTTTCCTGTGTATAAGTGGAAAGGGCCTTTTTCATGCATAAATGGGCTAACCAATATTTTCAAGAGAACTTTATCATTGTGCAACTAACAACAGTAACTAGCCCTTAGTTATGGTGGCAGTTTCTTATTGGTATGTGTGAGATTACTCTAGCAACTATTACAGTGTAACACAGTTAATCTTCTCCACACACCCTATCACCCAGATAATTTACAATTCTGTTAACAGTGAGGTTGATAAAGTATTATTGATAAAAAAATAAGATAATATAAGACAAAAACAGAAAATTATTTGGTGTGGCCATCTTACATGCTTATATGTCTCCTACACAAAGTTAAATATTCTAGCAGTGATATAATGAAAAATTATGTCTTACTGTTGATATATGTATGCTCTGGTACACAGATGTCATTTCGTTGTCATAGCACTACAGTGAAATACACAAATAAAAATTAAATTAAAAAAAAGATCATTTTAGGGCCAGGTGTGGTGGCTCATGCCTGTAATCCCAGCACTTTGGGAGGCCGAGGCGGGCAGATCACGAGGTCAAGAAATCAAGACCATCCTGACTATCATGGTGAAACCCCATCTCTACTAAAAATACAAAAATTAGCTGGGTGTTGTGGAACACACCTGTAGTCCCAGCTACTCAGGAGGCTGAGGCAGGAGAATTGCCTGAACCTAGGAGGCAGAGGTTGTAGTGAGCCGAGACTGAGTCACTGCATGCCAGCCTGGCGACAGAGAGAGACTCCGCTCAAAAAAAAAAAAAAAAAAATTCTTAAAATGATATGTTACTTGCAGTCATTAGTGATAAAATCAGATTATGCTCTTACATGAATTTTAATGGTTTTTAATTCTTCAAAGTAGATTTTTAAATACTAAATATGTCTTTCCATATAATATTTGGAGACCTAGGAGTTGAAATAGTGGTATTTCAAGGTAGCTTGAATAAAGTGCACTGACAGACACTTCTGCAAGATCGCTTTACTTCATCCTTCTAGTATTCCCTATTGCCCAAAGGGAAAAAAAAATCTTTATGATTCCTTTGAATTTCTTCTATTCTTCAGTTATGCTTCAGGCTAAAGCCTAAATTAATTTTATTTCTAGATTCTGGATACTTAAGATACTTCTTTTAAAATTGTTTTCTATTAACAAACTTCATCCAATAACCCCAGAGATTGGGGGAAAGGAACACAAAGATGTACAGGGTGCCTCCTCCATGAAAGAGGCTGTGCTGTGTGTTTTCACATCTGTGTCTCAATCACTTCTCACAAAAGCCCTGTAAAAATAGCATTTAATATTAATAACAGGAGCTAACATTGATTGATCTCTATATAAAAGATCTCATGTGTTTGAACACCAATCTTAGGAAGTAAGGTTAATCTCCCAATTGTACAGATGAGAAACACTGAAGCTTGTGGGAGTTAAAAACACAACTGGGAAACCATAGTATTAAGATTTAAGCTCTTATATTAATTCTTCCAATGGCTATGCTTTTAACCATGATGCAGTACTGCTTATTTGTAAATTAGAGAGCATAATCTCCATTTTAGAGATGAGAATATATTAGGTTGGTGCAAAAGTAATTGTACTTTTTGCCATTGAGTGATGGCAAAACTGCAATTATTTTTGCACCAGCCTATAGGTTCAAAATGTGCTCAGATCATGCATTTAATAAATAGCAGGGCCCAGATCAGAATTAAAACTGATTACATCTAACTCTCAAATCTGAGTGCTCCACCTTGCACCACACCTTGCTGATGCAAAGAGCAAGTTTTCAAGCTGGACTACAATAAAGCTATTTTTCCATTTGAGTCTACATGTGGGACTAACTTTTATATATTATACTACCAAGGCAGAGAATGAACTGGGATGAGCTGACACTTCATCATGACTGGAAAAGCCTGTCTGGCCAGGTGTGGTGACTCATGCTTGTAATCTCAGCAATTTGGGAGGCCAAGATGGGAGGACTGTTTGAGCCCAGAAGTTTGAGGCCATTCTGGGCAACATAGCAAGACCTCATTCCTACAAAGAAAAATTTAAAGAGTATCCAGCTGCACTGGCATATGCCTATAGTCCCAGTTACTCAGGAGGCTGAGGTAGGAGAATCACTTGAGCCCAGGGGTTTGGGGTTGCAGTGAGCTATGATTGCACCACTGCACTACAGCCTGGGCAACAGAGGGACACTGTAGGAGAGAAAGAGAGAGAGTAGAGGGGAAAGTAGAAGAGAGAGGAAGGGGGAGGGGGGGAAGAGAGGGGAAAATAGGGGAGGGAAGGAAGGGGGAGGGGAGGTGAAGGGGAAGGGAAAGGAAAGGAAAAGAGAAAGGAAAGGAAAGGAGAAAGGAAAGGAAAGGAGAAAGGAAAGGCGAGGAGAAAAGAAAGGCAAGGCAAGGAGAAAGGCAAGGCAAGGAGAAAGGCAAGGCAAGGCAAGGCAAGGAGAAGGGAAAGGTAAAGAAAGGAGAAAGGAAAGGCAAGGAACGGAAAGGGACGGGAGGGGAAGGGAGGGGAGGAGAGGGAAGGGAAGAAAAAGCCTGTCTGGTCCAGACACTCTTCTGAGATGGCCCAGTGGGGGAACCTTGGTCCTTCCAATGGGCCAGTAATGAGCATATGCTTTGGTGTGCCAAATCTGCCTGTGCCACTTTCCTCAGGATTCTTCCCACAAGACAGCAGGGAAAAAAAAAAAAAATGTTGGTTTTCCTTCCTCCCTGGGTTTCTCTTTGGGTTTCCTTGGGTTTCTGTTTCACTTTGGTTTTTCTAATTTGTAACCCAACCAAGATCACAGGAGGATACACGGCACCTGTTTAAGGGACTTGGGATTTTTGTCAAACAGACCAGGAATTCAGTACCGTCCACGTGATCTTTTCTAGACTCCATTTAGTCTTCGTGTGGTCCAGCAGCATCAGCATCACCTGGGATCATATTAGGAATGCAGATTCTCAGGACCCCACTCAGACCTACTGAATCAAACTCTGCATTTTAACAAGATCCCTGGGTGATATGCACACACATTGGAGTTTGAGAAACCTTGCTCTAGAGCATGATAACTAACATTTCAAGCCCCAATTTTCTGGTCTGTAAAATGGGAATGATAAGCAGGGCATTTTAGAGGATAATCATAAATGCAAAGAGACAAGTAGAGAAACCTGACTCACAGTAGGCATTTAATTTGAAAGATCAATTACAATTTTATGGTGGTGGTTATTATTATCCCAATTATCTCCAGATACTATTTCATTATTCAAAAACTTCATCTGTTTTTCCTGTTAGATTTTTTCCACTAACATGCAAACATATTTGGGACTATTTTCCCCATCAGAACAATAAATAGACATAACTCCTTTCCTGATGCTACTTTATATCCATCATAGCCACATTTCTCTCTTTCCCTCCCTTGATATCGAAGCATCTCAAACAAGTTGTCTAGACATACTCTTCGGTCTCTCCTTCCCTTCTCTCTTGAGCCCACTCCAAGCAGGATTTTGTCCCCAACACTCCACCAAAACAGCTTTTCTCAGGGACACCTGTGACTACCATGTTTCTGAATCCAGATTTCCTTTCTCAGTCTTCATCTCACTCATTTAGTGTATCAGCAGCACTTTTTTGCCTTAAAATACATTTTCATTTTGATTCCAGGACACCACACTCACCTGGCCATCTTCTTACATCCCTTGCTATTCCTTCTCAGTCTCATTTACAGGTACTTTCTCTCTTTTATACTTGTACATATTGACATGCTGTAGGGCTCAGTATTTGGACCAATTTTTTTTCTGTCTACAAATCACTCCCTGACGACCTTATTCAATCTCAATGGCTTTAATTAAAATACCATCTATGAGGTAATGACTTCTAAATTATATCTGTAGCTTGGAACTTTCCCTTAAACAATAAACTCATCTATATAACCACCTACTATCATCTCCAGTCATCTGCATAGCCCGTTCGTTCACTTCCTTAGTCTCTTTACTTTAAAAAATCACTTTCTCATTGAGACCTGCCCTGGGCATCCTAAAATTCTAACTACCCTTCCTTCACATGAAAATACACATCTTTCTTTCCTTTTTATTTTGTCTTCCTAGCACTTGTCACTATCGAATGTATTACATGTTTTAGCTTTATATGCCTTACCTATTATTTCTCCCTCCTCCCTCACTTGAATGTAAGCTCCACTAGAAAAGGGTTTTTGTTTTCCTTTTTCTCTGCTGTATGCCCTGTGCCTAGAACACTGCATGGCATATAATTGTTGCTAAACAATCACTAAACAAATGTAGGATTCCACTTTACAGCTAAAGGAACACAGGTTCAGGATGGGCGTTCCCAAGGTCACAGAGCCAGATGATTGCACAGCTGTGAATTGAATGCTAGTATGTCTGACACCAAATCTCCATATCAAATACTACCTATATTTAAAAGAGTTTTTCCATGGCCACTTTCATTCTTCAGCTTTTGTTTTCGTAAATATGTTTTGTTGGATTCAGTGCTCTCCTCTTC